TGCTGCACCATGGACGGAAGTATCGATGGACTTCTGCGGACCACTACCAACTGGAGAGTACTTGATGGTAGTCATTGATGATCACTCACGTTATCCAGAAGTAGAAATCATCACTTCCACATCTGCAAAGGCTGTCATCCCGAAACTCGACAAGATCTTTTCAAACTTTGGCATTCCTGAAGTTGTCAAGACCGACAATGGACCGCCATTCAATGGACAAGACTTCGTCAACTTTTCTGAGCATATTGGATTCAAACACCGCCGTGTGATGCCACTACATCCCCAAGCAAATGGAGAAGTTGAGAGATTCATGCAACCTCTCATGAAAGCGGTACGCTGTGCTCATGCCGAAGGACGATCCTGGAAACAAGCTATGTATGCTTTTCTCAGGAACTACCGTGCAACACCACATGGAACACTGGGCAAGTCGCCTGGCGAACTTTTATTTGGACGTCCTATGAGAATCGCACTACCCGTCATGCCAGCCGAGGTAACGGATAAACGTCTCGCTCAGAAGGATGCACTAGCCAAGGGCAAAATGAAAATTGCTCATGATCAACGTGCAAAGGAACAGTTCATAAAGGTTGGAGACACTGTTCTCGTTAAAAAGAAAAAAGAGGGAAAGTTAGATATGCCGTATGATACAAAACCATATAAAGTGATTAGTGTAAAAGGAACTATGGTAACAGCTAGTAATAGAGATCATAGTATAACACGTAATATGGCTTATTTCAAAGTGATTCCAACTAGTGTAGAAAATGATGAAGTGCAAAGTCGTGCAAAAGAAAAAGAAAAAAATAGTTATAACCCGACAAACAATTCATCAAGGGATGTTATTGCATTTAAGGACTCTCGTCCTAAACGTCATGTTAAACGCCCTACACGATTTGATGATTAATTGTGTTCCTATGTAATGAAAAGTATTTACTTATTATGCTAAACTAAATTTAATATTGTTTGAATAATGCAGATATCTCATTCAATATTTTGTAACTTTGTATTACAGTTTCTTTCATGTTTGTTTAACATTGCATATGTATTTTTAACATTGAAATCCTTTGTGGAAAAGATTAAGTTGTTTAAATTCTTTGTGTGCTTAATTAATGTTAAATGTATGCAGTATCTCTTGATATGGTAATAACTTACTTTGTGTCAATAACTTTGCTTTGTGCTACAAGCATGGTAGACATCCTGTATTCATTCTTTTTTAAGAAAAGGAGGGATGTCATGTTCACAGAAAATGGTACCATCCGTTTTCTATGTGCGGCGGCTGGGACGCCAGAGAGAGATTGGAAGTAAACAAGAGAGCGTACAGGACGCCCGCCAAGCTTGGTAGCTACTAGTCATGTAATCATATTAAGTATTAAAGTCAGTAACCAAGTCATGACTTTACATCAACCCTACAACCAAGACTTCCTCAGTAACACACAAACACCACACAGAGTATCCCTTCTTCCTGTGTGGGAGTGTATTGATCAACCCTTAGACTATATACATATATGGTCTAGTAGCAAGTTATTACTACTGTGGATAGTTTATTTTGGGGACCGGGCCTTTTAGCTCTCCCATATTTGATACTGTAGAGGGAACCACATTCAAAGTGCCCGCCAAGGAGACATTTTACAGTATAGGCAGGGCTGTGCCCTGATTGGTGGACGACGACGGCGCACGGCCTACCCGCGCGGCAGCCCGCGCAGGCCGAGTGGGCCAGATTTGAACTGCATGTGACCCAACGCGGACGACGCCTGCCCGGCACCACTGGCACTTAGGATATGTGCCCATAGGACCCCTAAGAGGCATTGACTCCCTCTGTCCTACCCTTCCTGAGGAGCCTAGACTTGCTCCACCTACCCTACCAGCCCTTCCTCTCCCTACGACGACAGTTCCAGGTGAATTACTGTACTATTGTTGTAACACGTGGGTCACCTCTACATTGGCGCAGTGAGTAAACGTTCCCACGCGGTGATCAAGAGGACCTCGCCAAGATATCTGCATCATCGTTCTGCCGACTTCAGTCAAGACGTCTTAGATAGTGTTCAACGGTTCCAGTCTCGAATTACTGGCTTTGGTTGCACCATAGATGTTCTTCGGTTCGTTGTTCAATAGCGGTGCCCAAGATATTTCAACCCCTGTTTTTTTTGTGCATATGTTTTATTCCACATCTCGTGCAATCCCCCAAGATTCTCCATAAGTTCCAGTTATCAGTGTTTTATACGGATTATTTCTCCGGATTTGTTGCATTTTATTGTCTTGTCCCCCAAGCACCGATTCCCGCGGTCCCTTCAGGTAAGGTTTACATACAAGTGTGTTACATTAATGGATTGATATATGATAGAGCTAGTACATACAATGCCTAAAGCCACTATTCTCGTGCAATAGAACTTAATACCCCAAATAAAGATTCTCCATAAGTTCCAATAGAGGAGTTATCAGTGTAGTTTTTATACGGATTATTTCTCCGGATTTGTTGCATTTTATTGTCTTGTCCCCCAAGCACCGATTCCCGCGGTCTAATAGCCCAAGTTCTTTGAAGAATCTGATCTTAGGGAGACGAGTACCACCATTCACACGGAATACGGGCCACCGTTCATGAGCATACCCGACCTGTATTGTTTACGAATCCGCTCGCGGAGGATTTCAGGCTGTCGTTCCCGAGCGCATCCGTCTCCAGTGTGTTTACTACAGCGACGCTGGTCCCAGCTCTGCAGGGTGCTTGCTACAGGTCTGTTATTTTCTCGTTTCTACTGTTAGCTAGACGTAACCTGTTCTAGGCTTTCTACAGAAGTAACGGCTCAAGGGGAAGAGATACATTAAGTGAGCCAGTGAGTTTGTGTTCATACCAGATTTAAGGTGGATGGTGATCCGCCCTGCACACAGTTCCACACGTTCACCTGAAAAAAGTGTTTTTGGGAACCCTCAGCCCAGTGTTTATGAAAATCAGGCACATTGCTTGTCAAAGTTCCTCAAAGTGCCTGCCATATCAGATTTTCCAGTTTTGCAAGTGCAGTAAGTGCCCAGTTTTTGTCTAAGCCTCAAGTGATTTAGGTACCAATTAAGTGTGCAGTGTTTTATGTTGCTTGAAACCCACCTGGCCCCATCATTTACATTATTGACTGTGCAGTGCTTATTTTTCCTTGTGGAACATTTATCTCTATCTCTGAACATTGGAACCTTAAGTGTGGCTATTGGTGTCTGTGTTTTTTTGTTTTGTTTTTCTGTTTGGGGTGGTATACATGTGAGGTGCCTGGCCCCAGATCTAAGGCTTATTACCAGGTGTGGCACGATATCGGAGCTGTAACTTTCGACACCAGCACAATGGCTCTAATCAAGATAAACTCTGCTTCGGCTGCTGAGCTGCAGCTGCTACCGGGTGTAGGAGATAAATTGGCCGCTCGCATTATCAAGTTTCGGCGTCACCATGTGATCACGGAGGACAACATTTATGATATCAACCGCCTTCGGGCCAAACCCGAGTTGATGGCTGCTATATCGTTTGAGGTGGACCCGTCCCAACAGGGCCCCGGGCCCTTAGGTCAGGGGGCAGGAAGTCGTTCATCGTCCTCGTCCAGCGAAACGGGAACCCGCCACTCCTCTAGGGGTGCCGCCAGCAGCAGCCAACGTGGACGTCGACCTCAGTCACCAGCTTACTCCAGGGCTAGTGGCCAGCAAGGTACTTGGCAGGGGAGCCCCTCCCACCATCGATCGGCTCGATCAAGGAGACGGACAGCTCGACACTCGTCACACAGCTCTCTGACTTCCGATTCGGATGCCTCTCTATCCCGCAGCAGGCGGACAGGTTATCGCCAACAGAAAGAGACCTTCCGCACACCACCTCGGGCGTTGGACTATGACGGGAAGTCAGATTGGGCCACCTTCTACCGCCGCTTCACGTCTTATGCCTCGGAAAAGGACTGGAGCGGGCCTACGTCATTGACACAGTTAGGATGGTGCCTCAAGGGTAAGGCAAGTGATTTTTACAATCGCTTACTGGACAGAGAACCGTCGATCGATTATATTCGCATGATGCATAAGATGATCAAGCGATTTGGCGATAGGGAAGTTCTGGATGTAGCTATGATGAAGTTTAACCAGGCCCAGCAGGAACCAGAAGAAGATATTGCTGATTGAGCAGATAGGGCCCACCACTTGGCTCATCGGGCCTACAAACATGTGCCACGATGGGAAGTGGAACAAATCGCAGTAATGAGATTCGGCCAGGGATTACAGGACAAGACTCTGGCAGAATACATTGCCAATGCAAGGAATTCGTCAATGGAAGAGGCCATCGACCGGGCCCAAACCTTCCAGCACAATGCCGTAGCAATCCACGGCTCCGCAAGTTCAAGCAGGCACGACTCCCACCGCCGCGGGTCCCAGGGGCCAGCAGTAAGAGTGAATGCAGTGGGCAGGTACTCCCGGTATGAGCAACCACCCAGGAGTAAGGACGCTTCTCGGCGCTCGACACCAGGTGCCTCGCCGGCTACCAGTCCCGCAGGCCGTGCAACCGGTACTCACCACCCGTCGAGTGCAGGCTCGGGTCCTTCATCTTCGATGGACACGGAGGCGAAACTGGACGTCTTGGTAGCAGGTGTCTCAGAACTCAGCGGGAAATTGGATCAGGTGTGTGAGAGTTTGAGGCGTCTCACAATGGCCATCATATCGCCGCATATTCGTCGTTCCCCATCTCCCAGGCGATCGTTGCAGTGTTTCAGATGTAGGAAAGAGGGTCACGTGGCTCGGGAATGTCTGGAACCGGGAAGTGATGGGGAGGGAAGCCGCCGGCTCAGGGACCCCCTGGGCAACAAGCTGCGCGTTTCATTTGAGGACGAGAAAGAGTCTTTAAACACGGATGGGTCGGTCCAGTCGGCCTAACTCCGACCCAATGTACAACAGGCCTAGAAAGGGAGAGCACGATAGGGGCGGGCCAAGGGACGTCGGGCACGGAAGAGCAGGACGGGGGAAGAGATCACATAACCATCAGACAGCTCAGATCCGGCTCTATGTTTTGGATCCCAGTCCAGATCGGGGACGTGGAGGTCAAGGCGATTGTGGATACAGCGGCCGAGGTCACCATTATCTCCCAGGAGATCCATCAACGGTTGAACCCACCACCCCAGGTGATACAACACATAACCTTAAGCACGGCGGGGAAACAAATGCACCTTACGGGAACACTGGTGGGCCCCATCTCCTTGCTGGTTGCGGGACGGGAATACACTGTGGGAGTGTATGTGGCGCCTATTGCAGACGACATGTTGCTAGGGCTCGATTTCATGAAAAGATACGGTGTTAGTATAGCCCTAGACAAGTCTCAAATGATATTACAGGGACAGGTGATTCCTATGAAGCTAGAGACGAAAGAGGAGCCTGACCCTAACCTAGCTCCGTGCATCGCTAAGGTAGCAGTGTCCCAATACACTGTTATCCCACCACATTCAGTGGCCAGGGTCAAATGTGAAATGGACAAAAGTATGCCCCAGTGATTAGTGGAGCCCCTGGAGGATGGGCAGGTGCCAGTGGTTCGCACACTCCATCAGGAGGGAGAATTCCTGAAGGTATGTGTACTCAACGTAACAGGGCAGAATATCACATTAAAGAGGCGGATGCATGTGGCCAATGCAGAGGCAGTATGGGAAATTTTACCGGGGCCGGGCCCAGCGGTAGCAGCAAGGGCAGTGGGGAGGGTACGAAGTGAAACTCAAGTCAAATTACCTCCCTATATGATGACCATGGTACAGGACGTCGAGGAAACGCTGTCAGCAGAGCAGGCAAGCCAACTGACCCACCTGTTATGGAACTTCCAGGACATCTTTGCCGCAAGTGAATTTGACCTGGGATCATTCAAGGAGGTATCTCACCGCATCGACACGGGTAATGCAAGACCTGTGAAGCAAAAAATACGACGAACACCCGCATGCTTCGCACAGGAGGAGAAAGGACACCTTCAGCGCATGCTCGATGCGGGCATCATCCAACCGTCAGTATCTGAGTGGGCATCGGCACCAGTTCTGGTAAGGAAAAGGGATGCGTCAGTTCGGTGGTGTGTAGACTATCGAGGGTTGAACTCTCGCACCATAAAGGACGTGTACCCACTCCCTCTAGTCGATGAGTGCCTGGACACCTTGGCGGGAAACGAATGGTTTAGCAAGCTAGATGCCAACTCGGCATATTATCAGATCAACATAGCAGAAGAAGATCGGAAGAAGACGGCATTCATAACGAAATATGGACTGTTTGAATTTAAGAAAATGGCCTTTGGTCTTTGTAATGCCCCGGCTACCTACGCCAGGGTTATGAACTTGGTGTTGCGGGAGCTAAATTGGGAAACTGTGCTAGCATTCTTGGATGACATCCTGGTGCTGGGCGATTCATTCCAAAGCCACCTCTCCAACCTAGCACAGGTATTTGCGAGATTCAGAACCTATGGTTTACGCCTGAAACCACAAAAATGCGCCCTCTTTAAGAAACGGGTTGAGTTCTTAGGCAGGATGGTCAGCAGGGCAGGACTAGAACTGGGAAAAGAGGCGATAGACACAGTGGTGAAATGGCAGAAGCCGGGATCATCCAAAGACGTGGAAAGATTTCTGGGACTGGCCAACTACCATCGGACCTTCATAAAGGGATTTGCAGAGTTAGCCGCACCCCTATACGCACTGACCGGCGGAAACAGATTCGAATGGGGAGACAAGCATCAGGAGGCTTTTGCAGCTATCAAAATGGCCTTAACTACAGCTCCGGTGCTGGGATTACCTAATGGACATGACCCCTTCATCCTGGACACCGACGCCTCCGACTGGGCGATAGGAGCGGAGCTGTTACAGGTTCAAGAGAAGAAAGAAAAGGTAATTGCTTATGCCAGTTTCGCATTGACCCCAGAACAGAGAAGGTATTGCACCACGAGGAAAGAGCTATTGGCAGTAGTCAGGTTTACCAGGCTGTTCCGGCACTATCTCTTGGGGCGGCCTTTTACCATACGCACTGACCATGGCAGCCTGGTCTGGCTGGTTAGGTTTAAGAACCCCCAGGGCCAACTAGCACGTTGGCTGGAGGAGCTGAGCCAATTTGATCTAAAAATCCAGCATAGAGCAGGTAAAAAACACAACAATGCAGACTCTTTATCCAGGGAGGGAGGCACTCAACAGGCATGTACCCACTTTCGCCAGGACGTGCCAGTGCAGGACCTGCCGTGTGGAGGATGCTCATACTGTCGCAGGGCACATCAGAACTGGGCGACCTTCCAGAAGACGGTAGATGACGTCGTCCCACTGGCTACGGGGTCGTTCAGATGTGCATGTAACGTTCAGATCCGGGGGACGATTAGACGCGTGAGCACTATAGCCCCTATTCAAGACTGGTGGTCGGAGGATTCCAACTTGGCTGTCTTCCCATGGGACCCTGGTGAAGATGGCCGAAGAAAGCCTGCCGAGACGCTTTATAAGGAAGAAGATGCAGTGGCCCCAGAAGTAGTAGACATTAGGATCATCACCAGAACAACGGCGGACAGGCTAGGGTTGCATTTACTCGAGTTACAGGAGCGGACGGAGAGAGACCCGGACATGAGAATGGTAAGAGAATGGGTGGGAGGCCGTCAGTCAACAGAAGGGGACCTGTTCGGGGCCAGCCCTGCAACAAAATACTACTGGTTAAACAAAGAAGCACTTCTCATGGAAAATGGGCTTTGGTGGTGGCACAAAGTAGATCAGGGGGGAGCCGCCCAGAAGCTTTTGTATGTACCCAGCAGCCTGAGGCAGGAGGTACTGAATCTGTGCCATGATATACCTGATATGGGCCACCAGGGCCGGAATCGCACAATGGAGCGGGTCAAAGCAAGGTACTTCTGGTACGGGCTATCAACGGATGTCGCAAATTACGTGGCATCATGCCACCACTGTAGTATGAACAAAAAAGCATCCAAGACCAGCAGGCATGAGCTGCTTAAGTACCAGGCGGGTGCACCAATGGAAAGGGTACACTTGGACATTCTGGGACCATTGCCTAAGACTCCGAAAGGCAACGAATATCTCCTGGTAATGGTAGATCAGTTCACTAAATGGATTGAGTGTGTGCCACTACCGTCCCAGACGGCAGAGAACACCGCCCGAGCAGCACTCGATGGGTTCTTCACCAGGTTCGGGTATCCGTTTGAAATCTTCACCGATCAGGGCAGGAATTTTGAAAGTGACTTGTTTACGAAGCTCTGCGAATTGATGCACATCCACAAGGCCCGTACTACCGCCTACAGGCCGTCGGCGAATGGGCAGGTGGAAAGGTATAACAGAACCATCATGGATGCATTGCGGTGTTATGCCAGTTCCCAACATGACAGCTGGGACACCTATATCCAACACATAGCAGGGGCCATCAGGTCTAGTGTGAACCGACAGACGGGGTTCACGCCCAACAAGTTAATGCTCGGTTGGGAAACCAACCAGCCAATAGATTTAATGTACCCCCGTACATGCCCGGGCTGGATTGAGAAGTTTAAACATCATATGTCACAGGTTCAGGACCCAGTGGGTGGGCCATATAAGGACCTTTACTGTGTGTGTCGGCAACCATACGATGGAAAGTTTATGGTGCAATGCGATATGTGCGCGGAGTGGTTCCATGGGGTCTGCGTGGGAGTGTTTATCGCAACCTTAGGCCTACTCACAACCAACCGCTCACTGAATTTGTTAATGATCAAATTCGATTGTTTGATAGATGGATTCGCTCGGCGAAAGCCGAAACATACGAGGCTCTCAGGAACTTAGTTTTAATGGAGCATTTTATAGATATTATGCCAGAGAATGTTTCACAGTACATTAGAGGAAGGGTAGAGGTAAATTCTAAAATAGGGGATTTGGCCAAGTTGGCAGAAAACTACCAATTGGCGGGCAAAAGGCCCAATAAAAATAATTATACCCCACAGAGTAGCAAAACTTATACCCACAGCCAGTCCAGACCAGCTCATTCTAACCCTTTAACTAATGCACCTTCTGTTTCAGACATAACTAACCCTGTTAAAGTGTCTAGCCCCACGGCACCTAAGGGTGAACCGAAGGGTAATTCTGTTAGTAATGTCTCTTCTCCCCGACGTTTTTGTGGTCACTGTAATCGTTCAAACCACAATATTAGCCATTGTTGGCAACTGTACCCGGAAAAAAGACCCAATGCTCTAGTTGTGACACAGGGCTTGAGGCCTTCAGAAGGGTTAGGGAGTAAGACCTCCAACCCACAGTGGTTGGATTTGCTTAACCCATTCTTATCGAAAGAGAGACTACTTTTGTCTGAGGGTTCTTCCTGGAAGGACGTGGTGATCTTCCGAGACACCGGTGCCATCCAGACTTTAATTTTAGAGAGTGCGTTGCAAGGTGCCAACACTCTCGACACTGGAGAGGTGGTACTGGTCGAGGGTGTCACTAGTGATACTCGAGCAGTACCCCTCCATAAGGTTACCCTGGAATCTGATTTCCACAAGGGTGTTTGTACAGTCGGAGTCACTTCATACCTACCTTTCCCTAATGTTGATGTAATAGTTGGTAATGATTTAGCAGGGGATAAGGTAGGGGACTCCAGACTGCCTATTATGTTGCCTACCCCTAAGGTTTGCCTGGATCCACCCGCCGCAGAGGATAATGTTGTGTACCCTGCGTGCGCGGTGACCAGGTCTATGGGACTTAAATGTAAGGGCAGCCCTGTGCTTGCCAAGGTGGTAAATCCCGAGGTCACGAGGAGCTTTCCGAGTGGTGAAAACCAAGTGGACCTCGCGGACACATTCATGGCCCGACTCGATGACGTGGCCGAGGACATTGTGGAGAGCCTGCCACCGCCATCTACCGAGAGTAGTGGGGAGGTGGAGGAGAACACTGTTGAGCCTCAGCCAATGGCATCTGACCAAGGCCTAGATGCCTCCTTGAGTGAGTTACAGAAAGCTGACCCCACTCTTGCAGATTGTCATGAAACAGCCGTCTCTATGGAGGAAATTGTAGACGCAGCAACTGGGTACTACTACAATGATCATGGACTTTGGCGAATGAAATATTACAACATTGTATTGATGAAGAACTATTGGCAAGTGATACACCTTTATGCCAGCCTAGCCAAGCAGAAAGTGCAACTCATAGGGATAGAGAATTAGCTTTAGAGTTAGCATAAATAAAATTAGAGGAGCAAAGACTCAAAACCGAGGAGGCTAGAATTAGAGCGAATGCCACTGGACCTCCACCTGCCGGGGATTCAAACCCCAGGAATTATGAGAAAAAGCATAATTTGCCTGAATTTTCCGAGTCAGACCCTGAAAGGTTTTTCAACCATTTTCAGAGATTGGCCATGTCCATGAACTGGTCAAAGGAAGAGTGGGTGAAAATCCTACAGGGAAGACTTAGGGGTAAAGCACAAGATATTTTTATAAACATGCCTGACGACGAGTGTTTTGAATATGATAAAGTCAGGGAACGAATTTTGTGGGCATATGAAATTACTCCTCAAGCTCACCGCCAAGCTTATCGCAACCTTAGGCCTACTCACAACTGGCTCACTGAATTTGCTAATGATCAAATTAGATTGTTTGATAAATGGATTCGCTCAGCTAAAGCCGAAACATACGAGGCACTTAAGAATATTATGTAAATAGAACAATTTATAGATAGTATGCCAGATATTATAGCACAGTATATTAGAGGAAGGGTAGAGGTAAATTCTAAAATAGGGGATTTGGCCAAAATGGCAGAAAACTGCCAGTTGGCGGGCAAAAGGCCCAATAAAAATAATTATACCCCACAGAGTATCAAAACTTATACCCACAGCCAGTCCAGATCAGCTCATTCTAACCCTTTACCTAATGCACCTTCTGTTTCAGACATAACTAACCCTGTTAAATTGTCTAACCCCACGACACCTAAGAGTGAACCGAAGGGTAATTCTGTTAGTAATGTCTCTTCTCCCCGACGTATCTGTGGTCACTGTAAACGCCCAAACCACGTTATTAGCCGTTGTTGGCAACTGTACCCGGAAAAAAGACCCAATGCTCTAGTTGTGACACAGGGCTTGAGGCCTTCAGAAGGGTTAGGGAGTAAGACCTCCAACCCACAGTGGTTGGACTTGCTTACCCCATTCTTATCGAAAGGGAGACTACTTTTGTCTGAGGGTTCTTCCTGGAAGGACGTGGTGATCTTCCGAGACACCGGTGCCATCCAGACTTTAATTTTAGAGAGTGCGTTGCAAGGTGCCAACACTCTCGACACTGGAGAGGTGGTACTGGTCGAGGGTGTCACTAGTGATACTCGAGCAGTACCCCTCCATAAGGTTACCCTGGACTCTGATTTCCACAAGAGTGTTTGTACAGTAGGAGTCACTTCATACCTACCTTTCCCTTATGTTGATGTAATAGTTGGTAATGATTTAGCAGGGGATAAGCTAGGGGACTCCAGACTGCCTATTATGTTGCCTACCCCTAAGGTTTGCCTGGATTCACCCGCCGCAGAGGATAACGTTGTGTACCCTGCGTGCGCAGTGACCAGGGATTTTGATGAGAAAATGGAGACCATAGAGTGCTCCCTTGTCAAATGAGTGGGAGGTAGTCCACCAGGTTATGTTGCCGACCTGCTATAGAGAAAGAGTTTTGGCAGCTGCTCATGATGATCCTATGGGGGGACATCAAGGTATAAATATTACGTATCACAAAATTTTAAAGTATTTTTTCTGGCCCAAGCTGAAAAGCGATGTGGCAAAATTGTAATGCGTGTATTGTTTGTCAACTGGTTGGGAAACCAAACCAGACTCCACCTAAAGCTCCTCTAAAGCCTATTGTCGTGCCAGAGGAACCATTTTCTCATGTGGTAATGGACTGTGTTGGACCATTACCTAGAACTAAGTCTGGTAATATTTACCTAATCACAATGATGTGTATCAGTACTCGTTACCCAGAGGCTTTTGCTGTAAGGAACATCCGAGCAAAAACTGTTGTTGCTCGTATGTTGCAATTTTTTTCCACTTTTGGACTGCCTCGGGTCGTGCAAACTGACAACATCGTGCGAGAGTTCCCACACCTTCTAGGATGAGAATTTACCGTATGTTTTGTTTGCGGCTAGAGAGGGATTACAAAGTTCACTGGGTTGTTCTCCTTTTGAGTTAGTCTTTGGCCATAAAGTTAGTGGAACCTTGCAAATGTTACAGGAGAATCTGTTAGGAAACGTAACGTTAACCGAAGGTTCGGCTTTCTTTGCGCAACACCACCAGAGACTCAAAGACTGCAAGGCGGCGGCACTAAAGTATCCTGGGAAGGCCCAAGAAAAGATGAAAGAACGTAACGATGCTAAGGCTAAGTGCCGGGTATTTCAGCCTGGCGACCCTGTCTTGGTATTAAAGCCTCGACTAGGGAACACTATGTCCCACAAGTACGAAGGCCCCTACATTGTGACAGAAAAGACTGGGGACCTCACGTACAAAGTGAGGCACTCTGACAAGCGTAACCAGGTAATGCTCGTACATATAAATCGGCTGAAGAAGTTCCAGGGCCCCAGGCCCATTGCACTAACCAATGTTTCCATTTCCAGTGAGAGAGGGGATGATTGTTTTGAGGACCCAACTAATCTCATTCTCAATAATTCTAGTTCTGTGAATGCTGTGGAGGAGGGACTGTCCCATTTGCAGATGGCCCAACGTGAAGAGGTGCAGTCGTTGCTTGAAGAATTCTCCAGTCTGTTCGGGGAGGTCCCGACCCAGACTGATGCCATTTGCCATGATGTCAAGTTGACGGACTACACCCCCATTCGCCTTCAACCCTATCGGATGAGTCCAGAAAAGAAGGCCATCGTACGGAAGGAGGTCGACTTCTTGCTCCAGCACGGCCTCATCCGGCCGAGCCAGGGCTCTTGGTGCTCGCCCTGCCTTTTGGTCCCCAAACCAGACGGCTCCTGGCGATTATGCACCGACTATCGGCAGCTCAACAAGGTGACCATTGTGGATGCCTACCCGCTGCCCCTCCTCGAGGACTGCATCGACGAGCTGGGAAACGCCAAGTACGTCTCGAAATTCGACCTCTGGGGGGGTATTATCAAATCCCACTCACTGAACGTGCTAAACAACTAACTGCGTTCGTGACACCCGAGGGTGTTTTTGAGTATCAAGTGTTACCGTTCGGCTTGCGTAATGCCCCTGCCACGTTCCAGAGGCTAATGAACTCTTTGCTCGCTAATGTGCCAAATTGTCTGGCGTATTTAGATGATATCGTGCTCTTTGACAGTAACTGGACTGACCACAGTTGTTTGCCATCTTGAAAAGGGCAAATCTTACCTTAAATGCTAAAAAGTGTCATTTTGGCCAAGGCACAGTGACGTACCTCGGTTATGAAGTGGGCCAAGGAAAAGTGTTACCTCGGCAAGATAAAATCAGTGCCATTCTGGAGTATCCAGTACTAAAGTCTAAAAGGACGTTCAAAGATTTATCGTATGTGTGCGTACTATCGACGTTTTTGTCAGAACTTTTTCCAGTGTTGCCACTCCTCTCACAAGACTTGTTGCGGAAAGGTACT